AGTTTTATTTTGACTGCATGTGGAAGCGGGCGTGTCCGCGGAAAAAGAGCAATATCGGTCGGTGGTTTGATTCCTGTTTTTGGAAGAGAAATCGCGTAGCGAAATCAAAGAGCGCTTGGATTCTGTGTATGGTGACTCTTCTCCCTCGCTGGCGACCGTCAAAAATTAGTTTAACGAGTTTCAACATGGTCGCGCGTCGATTTTTGATGAGCCACGCCCAGGTGTCCCGAAAGCGGCTTTCAAGTAGGATACCGTGACAAAAATCAACCAACTCGCAATGGCAAACCGCCGATTGAAGGTGTGCGAGATAGCTAATGATAGCTGAGACAGTAATCAACACAAACGTCCGCGTGGGTCATATCCTGCATGAAATATTGGGCATGAGAAAGCTGTCTGCGCGACAGGTGTCGTATTAGCTCACTCCGTACAACAAGCGCAACCATGAGACCGCTTCAGAGCAGTGTTTGGTATACACCAGAGACCAAGGAATAGTTGAAACAGTGGCGAACCCGGCGAACGTGCTCCAAAGAAGGCGAAGACTGTCCTAACGGCCGGAAAGGTGATGGCTACCGTTTTCTGCGACTCACAAGGTGTGATCTAGATCGACTACCTGGAGAAGGGCAAAACGGTCACAGGGCTCTATGCCGAATGACTGAGCCGGTTCGACGTCGAAATGCAGAAAAAACGGTGCCGTTTAGCGGAGAAAAAAGTGCTCTTCCACCACGGCCAAATTGGTCGAATTAGCCTACAAACTGCTGCCCCATCCACCGTATTCTCCAGATTTGACCCGTGCGACTTCTTTTTGTTTCCAAACTTGAAAAAGTCACTCGCCGGGCAGAAATTTGAGTCGAATGACCTCCAGACAACATATCTTTCAGACGGGTTAAGGAAGTTGGAGCATGGCTGGAACAAGTTATCGAGCTAAAAGGAGACTATGTTGAGAAATTAAACTGCCACTTTTCAAAAAATTTCGGTTTTTTTGTAGGATTGAATGAATGAATCGTTAAATTAGAGGCATTCCGGCCACCGTAAGGAGCCAATGGATAGGCCGCTTAAATGGGCCCTTATGCACCTCTACATTCCTTAGATCACAAGCCTCGCCTTTTTAGCGAAGTTGAGTATGGCCTTGAGTCCAAGCTCCTTGCGTTCTGAGGGTCCAAAGTAAAGGACCCCAGTATAGTCTGCCTATAGTAGTTCAGAGCTTTACAGCGACACAGAACGTGCGCCGAGGTCTCTTCCTCTAACCCCGCAGCGCTCACACAAGAGATCCTCAGCCACCCCCATCACGTGCAGGTGAAGCCTTAACGTGTTATGGCCAGACAACAGTCCCACCAGAAACCTTAGGTTGGCTCTGTCCAGAAATAAGCAGTAACGTCCATCCTTAGCACTGGGCCCTTCAATGAGTTCCCGTGCCTGGCGGAGATGTCTGGAGATACTTCCCCATTTCTGAGTGTTGTTTTGCAATCCCCGTCTCCATTTTCCTCCTAACTCCATGCGCGGGCACTCCTAAAGCTGGCTCAGGACCAACGAGCTTGCTGGCCGATGTCTTCGCCAGAGCGTCCGCCGTCTCATTGCCCCGTATCCCAGCGTGCCCCGGTACCTACATTAAGGATACCGGATGCCTCGCTGCGAGGCAATCCAGAGCCTCCCTGCATTGCAATACAAGACTCGAAGTAATCTGACAGGCACTTAGTGCATTCATTGCAGCCTTGGCTGTCGTATAAGATTGTTATTCTTCTCCTAGGCCCACCCTCCTCCAGAATTGTGGAATAATTATTGGACCGCCCTCGTAGGACCCGAATACAACCAAACTTCAAGTTTGTCACCAAAGTAATAAAAATAAGTTCAACACAACAATATGTATGGAATCAGAAAAAAGGGACTATCATTTTAACAGAAAATATACTTTTAAAAAATACAACATTTTACGATAGCACTTTCTGAGACAAAAAAATATATTAAAAACTTCATATTAGAACATTTATATACAACTTTTTCTTCTAGAAGGTCATATAAAAAGTTATATTGGTCAATTTATAGCCGGGCACCGCGTACATATTACTAGCACCAGGTGAACAAGGTTAAGAAACAATAAGACTAGCTTAAATTCTGATGGCTAATTTTTATATATACTTCCTCTCTCCAACCTACATGTTTGTATAATGGCTTAGAAAAAAATGTTTTATACAAAAGGTTTAAATGATCCCGCATATTTCTCTGGCCAATCGAACCACACGTGATGAAAACATCTTTATTGTAATGTTTCAGTCACAACGGTAACCTTCAGTTCAATGACTTTGACAATATATACTAAGTGACATATATATCCGAACACCCAGTTTAAATGGTTTTATTTTAATAAAATTTTGTATAAGTACTTAATGAAACATAATAAGTGATAAAAATTTCAAATGATTGCACTGCTTTAAAGCCCTTTGACCTTTAATAATGTGTGGATGCAACCCTGATGTGCTACGCATTCTCCAACGCGCCTAGGCATGCCTCTGATCAGGTGGTCAATGTCCTCCTGTGGTATCTCATTCCAGGCAACCACCAACTCCTCTCGAAGTGCTTCTAGAGTCTGAGGAGGACGTTGCAAATTGAGCAATCTCCTACCATCATATCCCACACGTGCTCAATTGGGGATAAGTCGGGAGATCTTGGTGGCCATGGTAACAATGTGACATCATTATGTTGAAAGAAGTCTATTGTGACTCTTGCAACATGTGGTCGGGCATTATCTTGTTGGAAAGTTGGATCTGCCAGGGGTGTCAAGATAGGGTAAAAGATGGGGTTCTAGAACTTCGTGGATGTAATGCTGCGCGTTCATGTTACCTCTGATGAAGATTAAAGGTGACCTGGACCATAAGCTATAGCACCCCAAACCATAGCTCCAACAGTGTGATGAACATGTCTTTCAACAAAAAACTGTGGATTCCTCCTTTCACCACGTCGCCTTCTAACCCTGGCACGACCATCGTGCATGCCTAAACAAAATCGAGACTCGTCACTAAGACAATACTGTTCCATTCCTGATCCCAGAGTGGCCGTTGTCTGCACCACTCAAGGCGATTACGGTCGGTGTTCTCGAGTTAAAGGGAGGGGCCCAGTGTGGCCGGTATGACAAGCCAAAACTTCTCATTCGTCGGTAAACACTTCGCAATGCCAATAGGTCTTCCGTGTTCTGCAAACCATTCATTTAGTAGTGGAGAAACGGTCCTTTAAGGCCAATAATCTTAGGCGGCGATCTTCACGGTTCTGTTGTTCTACGGCGGGCGTCCAGTGCCCCTTGCTCTTTGCGTACGGCCTTCTCGAAGCCATGCCTGACAACACCTAACCACAGTGTCTACACTTCTTTGCACTCTAACTGCAATTGCCCGAAAAGAAAGTCCAGCTTCCGAAGTCCCACTATACGGCCCCTATCAAACTCACTAAGTTGACGAATCGTACAGGTCTCCGTACTCTAGGCATCGTAACCGATCGTAAAGGATGTCAAGAATCAAAATCCGCCAACGTTGATTCTTTACTGCGGCTGAAATATTCATTTTTAGAGCGTTAGTGAATTAAAAAAAAGCAGTATAAAAACCGGAATGTCCAACTGATAAGGCTGAAAATTTTTTCACTTGTTATTTTACAGTAAGATAAATATATTCACCAACTTTTATTAAACATAAAACCATTTAAACTGGGTGTTCGGATTTATATGTCACTTAGTATATTACTAGTACTGAACACGGTTACCATTATGAGCGAAACGGGTAGAATCAAGATTCTTTAACACATGTGGTTTCGATGGTCAGAGAAATATGGGGAATTATCGACATGAAAACCACAGGATAAGTTTCAGATCTTGCAAAAGTTTTAAAGTCTAATAAAAAAAAATCATTCATATCTATTTTGTACACAGAGCTATCAGTGCTAATCGAATAAATTGGTCTTGACACCTTGTTCAAACCGTCTAACAGGAATTATGCCCGGCGGTGAGTGCTAAATATTACTTTGTAATAATGTCTTGCAAAATATATACATTTCCTCAGAAAATAAGTATGTCTCGCAGCCCCATACATAATCATAATAATAATAATGTCTTTATTGCAACCATTAGCATGACAACATAACATTTACATTACTGGCCCTTTCAACCTTCCCTCTCGAAACTTTTACATGGGTCAGTTATTTCCTGTTTTGAATGGAAAATTTTGAAAATAATCCTTCAATCTCCACAAAGGAATACAATTAGTGGTAATAAAGAAGATATATAATCCTGCTGGTAATTCAATATCCTATTATACAAATTCGTCCAACAATGATATCCAACTTGCGATAAACAATAAAACACTGGAGAAGTCGTAAACCCGTATCACTTTTATTTGAAGAGTATCGCCAGACTGACATTAACATTGATTGGCGACTCACATTATACCAGGTGAGTTGTCAGTGTGGGATCGGCCCGACAGCTATATATCTAAAAAAGATATTTACAAAAATTATAGGCAACATATGTGTTATATGTATAGTTTAGTATATCTTGGAAGGCCTCTTCAAAGGTAGAAGTGGTTTGGATCGTCATTTCAGGAGCTACGGGGTATTTTTATTCGAAAAAAAAAATAGTCAAGTTTGACAGCAAGTCACTTTGGCCGATAGAGCTTTTCGTCAAAGTAGGCTTCATATTCCACAATTTCGGGTCACACTGATGTACTGAAATTGTACTTATACTCCAAAAATTCAAATGGAACAACCTGTATATTTTTACGGTTTTCAGTTATCCTTTTAGAAACTTTATTATGGTATAAAAAATTTGGGGGGTTGAATTGATATCTTTTTAATAATTTAGATTCCCCAGAAATTTCACTCAAAAATAAATACATAATTACCATTTGAATTGTACAAAGGGAGCATTTTTAATGGATGGGAGAATACTCCAATGGAGGCATACAAAAAATAATGAAAATATGTCACGGACTCATTCAGATAAAAGACTCACTTCTTTAGCGTTCGCCTCGTAGCAGCATTTTCGCATCACGTAGCCTTTCTTGTATTCTATGGCGTTCGCGGAAATTGGGCACATCCAAGAATGGATTTCCACCTAGGTTGATCACATCGTTGTTCCTCATCTGTGACTGCACATTGCCATCTTCATTCTCCTCATCACTGCAAATTTTTTCCATTCTAAATAACTATTTATCCACAGGGTAATAAAATACAAGAGTCATAGGTCTCAATATGTCTTTTTGCCAAGCAAGAGGCTTTTGTAAATTTCTACGTCCACGAACAGTACAAGAATATTCATCAAATACCTTTTAAATCATTAGGAAATTTCGCTGATCCAAGAATAAAAAGAAAACTTACAGTGCCCACTCTAGAGGATAATTCTTGATGGCGTGGTACAGCTGCTTCAAAACCTCCCTAGGGAAATTTTCGCACTCGTTCAGACCAGCCAAATTTTCTATAAATTCGTTACAGGTCATTTTGCGGCCGATGTTCTGCCCATGTAGATCAGTGTTGAGCAACATAATGGCACATGTTAACGTGTGAACCGCATCTACAAAAAAAAAACAAGAGTTGAAAAAATCCGTCGATCGGTCCAACAAATAACTTCACTATTATAACGCCCCTCGTAACTGGGACCTTGAGTAAGGATGAGCCGTCCTCGCAATACCGAGGGAACCAGAGCTACGCCAAGAGCGGTTTAGCTTGCAGTACCATCGAGGCCGAAATCGGAGCGTTCGAGAAGCAATGATCGACATAATCTAGAACTTTGATGAAGCGCTGGAAGACTCTGGATCAGACAGCTTTGAAGATAAATAGGCGCCAGGACGATAGAATGGCAGAGGTATGAATTAGTGTAAGAGTAATAAATGAGACTAAAAACAGTAAAAACGGTGTTTATTGGATTAACAGCTGGAAAAATGATATACGAGAGATCATAACGTGAAGCATGTAAACACAGAAAGCAAAATCACTCGCGAAAAAACTTCAGTAACACATAAACATCACAAAAGTGAACATTCTAAGCATATAAGAAAAGGTGTTCCCTTACCTTGAGAATTAAAAGATCCGGGATTGCAGTCAAGGTACCTTTTAGAAAAATGTACAAGTACCCTTTCCCTCTCCTGCGTTTCCCCCGTAAGAGAAAACTGCTTAAGGAACTTTCTTAAAGCTATGTCTAACGTGTCCTTTTCGAAATCGAAATACTTCAAGTATTCCTCTGCCACAGCCCTGCTGAAATCATTGCTGAAAAAGAAAATGTTTATTTTAGGTTAAGATGTCCTGATCTGAAAAGTCAAAAAGGAGATTGAGCGATTTTTGTTTTTCCGTTTTTTTGCCCGCAGCTTCACCACTCGACAGATTGTCAAAGCCTGCATAGCTTTTTCGTCATATTTCGTGATATTTTCTGTAGTAAATTTATGTTACGCAGAATTTCTTCACTATACCACTTTTCATAGAAGTGAAATATTTTGTCTTCTGGTTGTAACTTACTTTTTACTGAGATGTCGAGATACGTCCGACTTCTTGAAACCATCGAGACTGTACAGCCGTTTGGCCAATCGTATGGCCGACGGCATGTCGACCGCTTTCGGTGAATAGTGGAAGCTGTGCAAGCTCTCCACGTCACTTTCGTCCTCGGAAGACAATGGCGACGATCTGTTGTTATTGCTGCCGGCTAACTCCCGACCGCATTCGTCCTCAGTTTCTAGCAGATCTTGATCCTGATTGCCCTGGAAAATATTCAGTCTTCAACAGATATAAACTTGAATCTGAAATATCCAACATCCGCTGACATAGCATAGTACAACAGTCCAATAGTATCTGCTTAAATGTTATGCCTTACGGAAAAATATTTAATGTAGTTCGAGTCACATTTTATTGAAATGCCTGTATATCTTATTTGTTCAAAGCATTGTATTATTGTCAAATTGGCCGTTTCATCAAGAACTTTCATTTATAATTTTAGCTTCCATTTGAAAGAAGGTTTTTATGAAAATAGTTTCAAACTGACTATGTCTCATGCAACGCACTAAAACGTTACCTCAGCATTTTAAGAAAAACCATCGTAACGATTGTGAAATATTTGCCCTGATTCCTATAGACAGGTGTTTTCTGGTTGTAGTAACGTTTTCCCATATTTCATTTTATAAACACATACGAGGCCTGTAAATCAAGTGATGAGACTGGCAACGTAGCGTTCGATCTGGCAACACAGGATGCACTAGGCTTGGTGGAGGGACAGGGGAACATGTGATCCGGCTTCAGCATAAGTTTGAACTCGCTCGAGTCATTTTTGGTTGTCCGTAGCTATTTTTTGTGAAACAGTTTTTCCTATTGTGTTCCAAAAATGAATGCCATCAATTTCAAGTAACGATGTGATATCAGGTTTTGCTGAAGACCCAAGCACAGTGCAATGGAAACTCTTGCTAAACTTCAACAGGCCTACGGAGAAAGTGTTTTGCCAAGAGCCCAAGTTTTTCGGTTGTTTGAGGCATTTTCAGGAGGGAGAGGGTCGATTAAAGATGAACCATGAAGCGGAAGGCCTTCATCTTCAAGAACCGATGAAAATATCGACAGAACCACTGGATCTTGTGCGTTCAGTTCATCGGTTGACATTCAGAATGATCACAGAAGAGTTGAATTTAACTCACACTACCGTTCATCAGATCAAGAACAACTGGGTGTTGCATCAGGATGCAACAGTACAGCAATGACAATAAAAGAGTTTTCGAACAGTAAAAACATCCCGGTGGCCCCTCGGCCTCTTTATTCGCCTGACATGAAACTTTTTGACTTTTTTCTCTTCCTGAAGTTGAAAAATTATTTCAAGAGAACTCATTTTTTGACATTCGCAAATATTCAAACGGCTGTAATCGACCAGCTGGGCTATGCCAGTATCGGAGTTCCAGAACTGCTATGAGGAGTAGAAGAACCGTCTCCAGCGCTGTGTGGCTTCAGAAGAAAGTTATTTTGAGAGTGCCAATATAAAATTGTAATTTGAATTATATTTAGGCAGCAGAGTTGGCGTAGTGCGCTGCGCGGGTTCCAATCCCGTCCCAAGAGAAATTTTTCTCTTGGCTATGGATGCTGTGATTGTCCGTAGGTGGTAGACTGTCTCTCATTGTGTTAGCTCGCTAGAGTCCGTGTGACGTCCCTCCTTTCCCCTGTATCCCCCTATAGGCCTTAGACCTTCGTAATGGTTTAAGTATAAAAAAAAAATAAAAAAACCAGTCTCATCACTTCTTAATTTACAGACCTCGTATAATGATGGAAATATTTAAAAATGGTCAGACACTTGAGCAGCATTAATATGTTACTGTAAAGTTGGGAGGTAATCCTCTTTTAGCTTATTACAAAGCTCATAAACAATATAAAGAATAGGTAGCTGTGTGGAGAAAAAAATAGTCAAATTAATTTACTGCGGCATCCTGCCACCTGTCATAATTTAACTTGAAGCAATTCACAAAAGTGGCAACAACTATCGACTGCTGGTAAACTTTTACACACGTTGAACAGTCTGTAGGCAACCACTGTCAGCCCGACGTTTTGAATGTCTGCTTTTCTAATTTGTATCTATACCCGCAATAGTAGCTATGAGACAGTTGATGAAGGATTTGTGTGTCTTCTAATTCCTAAAGTCTGTAATGAGAATCAAAGTGCATTTGACAAGTCGATTTTCAGACAGTGCTGTCATTAAATTAATATATAGTGTTATTTTTTATAAATGCGAGTGTTTGCATATAATTTTGGTGTTCTACTATTCCAAGACATTGCCTTCTTACATAATTTGCAAAGAGCGACAAGCCTAATAAAGGTGGATGTTTCCACCTGTAAATATTACTAGTATGTTGATGCCACACTGTCACGTTGGTAGGTGTTGGTAGACAAATGAGCCAAAAGTATGCAATAAGAGTCATATTCCTAATTGTCACTCACATGCACGCTCGAGGGTTTTGTGTTTGAAGTTACGCTGGGATGCGTTTGTAAATCATATGGTCATGTAATACCGTACACAGTAATGGAATGTAGATTGATGAAATTTCACCCTCGAATACTGCAAAACTTTATTTTTTAAACACCTAAATGACACTTGATGACAGCCGGCTAATTTCTAATCACGTTTCCGCGACCGATGTTTTATTATAATAATATATTTATCGAGCAAAATATATATATTGCGAATTCAACTTTACATAAAAGTAAATAATAAAGTAAACAAACGATGAACCATGAGAATGACAAATGATATCACTATTATTCCCAAGGTTTTGAGCACGGGAAGAGAAGCGTACTTTTGCCGTTCCAGAAAGAGTACTTTGATCTATTTCCGAACGCTAAACTTGTTACAGAGAGTACAAAATACACTCTATAACAATTTACGAACGCGGCCCTGATGAAAATGACTGAAGAACGAAATTACTATTTAGAGACTGAAAAATTCCTATTATTGTGTATCCATACGAAAAATAAGAAATTTGTACAACTCCCAGACAATGATCTAAAGGAAATCCACGAAACTGAAGAAGCCGTGGTATGCTGTATGGTTTGAGCAATCTCGTTGTTCTCAATAAATTCTAGGAATCCTTCATAATCCATTTTGCTCATAATGACTGCCAACTAGGTGACAACTTTGATAGTACACGAAAATTAATCTGAAAAAATCCCGTGAATGATCCTTAAGTGAGCTGTCGCTTCCCAGCCACTATGAGAACACGAAATAACTAATGAGGGTTTCTCAAGCATCGTGGGACCTTGAAGTGATATTTGTGAATCTCACGCAAATTTGGTGACAAACAATGAAATGTAAACATATACGCTTGCCTCCTTCTAATCTATTCAAATTCGTTGGTTGGAACAGAGAATTACATGGCTGGTTGTCGTAAACATCACCCTAATTGAAGTAAAATTAAAAATTACCGAGTTTCCGTGAAATTTGCATGACTGTTTTGCCGTACTCGTTCAAAAAAAAATGCAAAAACGAGATGGAAGATTTAACAAGAGATTTTTAGCTTGATGAAATATTTCTCAAATAAATCGTAGGAACTTTTGGCTTTTTTGGTGCTGGAAGAGTTCATCAGTTTGCTCTGCTACAGTAGTAGAGGATGAAATTGATTAGAATTTAATTAACACTAAGCTACTGATTGACTTGAAATGATGAGAAAACTTCATTAAAATTATTAACACTTAACTATGTACTTGTCAATTGTGGTTCTCTTCATCCTCACTTGAATCTGTTCCAAGAGATCTTTATCGTCAGCCATTTTTTTAATTTATGTAATAAACGGCAAGTACGAGTCGATATTCGTACTTGGATTTACGTAGATCAAAGGAGATACGAGTGGCTTGACGCTGCACAGTTTAAGAGATATTTAGCAAAAAAGATGATAAATCTATGATTTCTGTTGATTACTCTTTATGGAAACAAAATATGATTATCGGTGGTGTGCACGAAGATTTGGGAAATATTTTATCAACGACTTGAGCCTCGTTAAATAAATTTTGTGATCTTTGAGTTTATAGCAAAGAAATTCTAAATTTGTCCACTATACAATAAAAATCGTTGAATTTCGAGGAAATATCTCATATAAAAAAGCATAATTGCGATAAAGTAACACACTTCCCGGTGTTTTCAATAAGTGTAACAAGTATTTTATTTACCTGAAATCATCGGATACTGTATAATTTCAGTTCAAGCAATGAATATGGTCAATTCTTCAAGATGGAAATAGCAAATTGATTGCAACTTTATGTGGGAAATACGAATGTGACTTGAATAAGAAACTTGACCTACATAGTGCTGTCAATAGAAACAGAAATACAGGGGGTTTCACCCAACATGCAGATCTACGCTACCCGCCACCACTATTGAAGTTCTTTTTACGATTTTTAGCGGGTCACAGTACTATCGGTATTACTTTTATACATCCATCTCCCTTACAGATACATCTGCGATCTGCCTCTGTGCGCGGACGTTTGTTTATGTAAGGTCACAGATATTTGTCCTTTAGTCTCGTCTCGCCACCTCGAAAATTTTCTCACTAACGTGTCAGTACAGTTGCGTTCGATTTACACACAATCTCAGATAAGCTCACCTCACTTCAGTTTATTGCACGCTCGTTTTCCGAAATATCAGTTTAAATGTAATGAGATTTCTTCCACAAGTGAGTCAGTCATCAGATTTGACAATCTCATGTCTGTTTGTCTCACTTCACTTGCAAAAGGAACGCAACATATTTCTCATGTATGCTTGTCACTGTCAATGTGGCAACCCACTTGTCATGGGCATGAGATATGAGTTTACCTTTTGCTGATATTCGTAATATAAAACAGCAATTCCAATATCGACCGTGTTTGCCAAATTTCTTGGGAATATTTTTAGAAAGAGAATGAGAGCAACAATACTTTATTGCTCATTTTATGTATACAAGAGCATCTGCTACAATGCCAAAGCTGGACTTGGCGCTGGTTTTGGCTAAGCATTTGGTCGTCAAAGCCGGATATTATCTTCTTTAATAGCCAAAGATAACTTGTATAAAGGCGAACACAACGACGGATTCAGCCTTTGATTCAGGGGGGTCACGGCTAGTCGATCTGCAAATACCGCGTATATCAAAAAGCCTACCAAAAGCTGGACAGGTCAGACGCATACAGGGTTTGTCCGGAAAGTATAGGACTCATTTTCTTCCGCCATGACTGTACTTCGGAGCGTGCGCGCACCGACTGGATTCGGTAGAGGGCGTTCCTAGCTAACGAATGAGCGGCTAGTCAGTTGTCTCCGAGCACTTGGAGAGTCAGGACAAGCATTTTCGCGCGACGTATTTCTGTGAGTGGTGCAAGCCGAAAATGCAGTGTTCGTTAGAGCGATTAAATTCTGTGTGAAACTCGGTAAATCTGCGACAGAGATGTTTGATATGATCAAGCAGGGTTACCCAGGTGTTGCTTTAGCAAGAAGTGGTGTGTTTCGGCGGCACCAGGCCTTTTTGGAGGGCCGGGAAGAGGTCGCTGATGAAGACCGTGCTGGAAGACCTTCGACTTCGACAAACACCGATAATGTGACTCGTGTGCGCAAGTTTTGAACTCAGACCGTCGACTAAGTATTCGTTTAATTGCCCAGATGTTAAATTTACCAAAATCTGTAGTTCATGACATTGTGACACAGCATTTGAAGATGCGCAAGGTGTGCGCGAAAATGGTCCCAAAGTGCTCACTGACGACCAGAAATTGCGGGAGTGGAAGTGTGCCAAGAAAATTTGAACATGTGTGAAAGTGACCCCCAATTTTTGAATAACGTAATCACAGGTGACGAGTCGTGGATCTTTGAGTATGATCCCGAGACAATCTTCCGAGTGGCACACGACGGCATCTCCTCGCCCAAAAAGGGAAGAATGAGCAAATCCAAAGTGAAAAAACGATGCTCATTGTCTTTTTTGACATCAAAGGCATCGTCTACCATGAATTTGTTCCTCCTGGACAAAACCGTCAACGCCAAGTTTTACGTGGAAGTACTCAGGAGACTCAAACGAAGGGTCAGCCGGGTCCGACAAGACATCGCAGCCGACTGGAAGTTGCACCACAACAACGCCCCGGCTCACACCGCCTTTCTTGTGAACAGCTACCTGACCAAGCCGGCATCCCAACGCTTCCGCAGCCGCCCTACAGCCCAGATGTGGCCCCCCGGACTTTTTTTGTTTCCTCGCCTGAAAAGGCCGATGAAAGGCAAGCATTTTGAGACGCCAGAGGGGATCCAAGCAGCATGCACCGCGGCTCTCAAGGCTATTCCGTGATGCCTTCCGTGACGCCTTCAAAGCTTGGAAATCGCGCTGGTACGCGGCATTGACGCAGAAGGAGCCTATTTTGAAAGTTTTTAAGAATTGTAACGATTGGCTCAATAAATTTTTTTAAATCGACTCAGTCCTATTACTTTCCGGACAAGCCCTGTAAGAATTTGGCCAGCCAGGCCCACAAAAAGCCGGACGGATGGCAACCCTAGCTGTAGTGGAGTTTGGTTTGGGCAGTGTACAATTTCCCCAGTTAAGTTCCGCACATGTGTTTACTTATTTCCTATGCTACTGTGACGTAACGCCAAAAATCATGAAAATACATATCTGGTATTTTGAACTTTCAAAATACTGGGTGGTATGTTAAAACTAAGTACACACAAATACCCAGGTTAAAGATGTGAGCAGTCCAGGACATATCTTGATATTTTGGTTCGCTTAGTTTGCATAATATTGCTCGAAAAGATTTTTTAACGAATCTGCATGTTGCCGAGCCCAACCTTGCGTCAAAGGTTGTTCAAACAAATAAAAAAATCCAAAAATGGTTTTTTAAGTTTTCCGTGTCATTCTGAACAAAAAAAGGTTCTCATGAACTTTTGTCTAAAACTGATGGTATTCAAGATATCAGCGATTTAATATTTGGAAAATATGCCCAGCCCAATCGCGTAGCTACCGCCGCATCAACGATACGGGGCCCCCAGCTTACAAGGGGGGCAGCGTAGCGTGGACTGTTTTTCACAATCTGACGCCAGCTTTTAGTTCGTACGCTAAATTAAAAATTTTCAACCGATAAACCTCAGATTGTACGGCTAGGTGATAGCAGCATGCTTCCTGTTTTTGAATCTAAATGGTTATTAAAATACCTTAGGAATTCTAGGAAACTTTTACCATCAAGCATGTCTTCGGAGGCTGAAAATTTCGAAACACTACAATCGTTTCAGCTATGGACGGTTTACTTTTTACCTCCGGAAAAAATAGTGGGAAGTAGATTAACTCGGTACTTTCCAAGCATTCAACTGTGCCTATTTTCAAATTTTCCACGAGTTAAGATAAGCCTTGCTAAAGAAACAATGTTTGAGCTTAATATGCCCTAAACTGAAGCAATCAGAAATATTGAAATAAATTTTCAAAATAACCTAATGATGTTTGATATCCCTTAACAACTTCAAGAAAGTTGTAAAGCTGAAAACAAACTTTGGAACGGTCTGAAAGCTATTTTAATTTTTGCTCATAACATCGTTGCCATTTATAACGATTTTAAAAAAATATAGTAACATTACTTATTATGTCCTCACATGGATTTACGTGTTGTAGACATAGTAATATCAAAAATATTTATTTGAATTTCTAAATTTTTAGCATTCACAGAACCTATACTTCAAATTTTACGCTCCATTTTCGGCCGCCTCAATCCTGCATCTCTCGCGCTCACGCGGAGTATACATTGAGCGCGAGCTGGATTAACAATTAAAACAACAAAGGTTTACAATAACAATACCTCCTAAAATACTGGGATTTTGTTAATGAATGTTAGAAGAATATTTTCGAGCTCTGGCAACAGTAAAATTCCCGTTTTTTATAGCGTTTCGAGATCGGAAATGGCATATTTCGTCATTTTTCAAATATTATTTTCGAAAAGTTCATAAACACCTTTTCTGCTCAGAACAACTCAAAAACCTAAAAAAACTTGTTTGGAGCGAAAAAACAATTATTGGGCCTGGAAACCTGAAGATTCGTTAAAAGGGATCCTTTTTAAATAAAATTATGCAAAAAAATGTGTAAATATATTTTTCCGACCACATGCAAAAATACATCCTGTACTAGAGACGAAAGCCTCCTTTTTCGAATCACAATAGCGTTTTCGAATCGCTAAGCGAATAAGATGTTAACGTTATGCGTTCTGAAGATCGAGGTTACCTTCCTGAGCTGAGGTATCCAATTCTTGGGCTCGAGTTTCTTGATAATTTTTTTACAGATTGAATGACAACATTTTTCGGAAGATTTTTCTCTGTTCAAGAAACTGGACCAATTAGAAAAAAAAATAGTTAAATATAAAAAAATGTTAGTTGACGATATACGGTTAGTGCAAAGAAGCGATAAGATTCGGATAGTTGAGAAACGTGAGTGTAGACTGTAGACGTGGTACATGGTACAAGTGAGGAAACAACTGTTTTGCTGCCAAATAGGCTATTTCAACATATTGGTCGCATTCATTGCGACACATCACACCGCATACGAAAACATTATTTTGATATTCAAATCTCGATGATTTGCCTATGGACATTTTTAATAAA